GTGTAGAAATTCACATTTTGCTTTCAGTGTCCATAAATGCCACAAGATGGCGAGGTTGTTCCTTAAAATGAATGTGAATTACTAAGTGGAAGAGAGGGAGGGAGAAAGAGAAAGAAAATGTGTGTTGGGTGTTCCTCTCTGATTTTCCATAACTTCCCTGATTTTTCTTAGCTCTTTACTTGAATATAAAATAGAATTGACATGCCTACATTTTTGCTCTTTAATTTATATTTTAATTATAGTTGTTTTTGGAATTGTAAAGCTAAAAATAAAATTTAAAAGAACTATCTGGATCCCAGGCTTAACATTTTTTTCTACCTCTTCATTAAATTATTAATGAATAATTTCATTCTGCACAACACCAACAGAGTAATCTTAGTAAAATACCATTCTGATGTCCATTCTCTGCTTTAAAATTTTATTTATTCTCATAAATATTTGTTGATATACTGGTAGTCAGTATTTAAATAGTTATAAGTATAAGGTGAAAAAGTGGAATAATTTTTGACTCCTATTATGGAATATATACGTTTATTGTTATTATTATTATTATTGAGATGGAGTCTCACCCTGTTGCCTAGGCTGGAGTGCAATGGCACAATCTCAGCTCACTGCAACCTCTGCCTCCCAGTTTCAAGTGATTCTCCTGCCTCAGTGTCCCAAGTAGCTGGGATTACAGGCATGAGCTACCACACCTGGCTAATTTTTTGTATCTTTAGTAGAGACAGGGTTATACCATGTTGGCCAGGCTTGTCTCGAACTCCTGACCTAGTGATCTACCCGCCTCGGCCTCCCAAACTGCTGGGATTACAGGCGTGAGCCACCGCACCCAGCCATGTTTATTATTATTGTCAGCTCCTTTGCTATTATGAACAAGTGCAAGGTTCCAAGTACAAAATATCTTAATTTTCATGGTTTATTAAATAACATAATGTCAATGCTTAGATGTCTCTTGTCATCATTTGACATACCTCAGGGTAGTTTTCTTTTTGTTATTCCCAACATTTTGTAGAAAAGGTAAGCTAATATATTAATATATTGATTAATGCATCTTTAGTAACTGTGTATATTTAGCTCTCAATGTAAAATTCATTTTGCTTGTGTTATCTAATTGAATTAAATCCTCATAAGAAATCTGTGAGATAAATGTGAATATTGCCGTTTTACAGATGAAGACATTGAGGCTTAGGAAGATTGAATGAATTGTCAAAGATTTAATAGTTGGCAGAGCTATAATTTGAATCCAGATTTTTTTTTAATCCAAAAACTCCCCTTTTCCCCTATACCTTACTGCTTCCAATGAGAGCAACTATTCCTTTTCTCTTTAATAGAAATACTTACAAGTTGTAATTTAAAGTAATTGGGGTATTTGTGTCTCTCCCTTGTTCTAAGCTGAACAAAAAGAGAATTTTTCCTGCAGGCCTTTATTTAGAAGAGTCCGTTTAGACTTGCACTGATGGTGAGGGACCTGGGTTTGTCCCATTTGAAGGATTTGGGCTCCTGGCCAGAAGCACCTGATTTTCCGAACCTAGAGTTAACTGAAACTTAATTCCTTTTGTTGACTTCCTGCTGAGATAACAGGTGGTTCACGTGCACAGGCCTTCCTGCTGATGGTGGTAGCTTCTCTCTGTTTCTGGAGACTTGTTTTATGCTGAGGACTACCTGTGGTTTGAAAACCATTGCTTTGAAGGCTGGAATCCCGGGCCAGGGTGCCCTTTACAGCAGCACATGGCCTACCCTGGAACTCATTCTGTAAAACTTGGCGTTAATTTATTTCTGCACAGAGAATGTTGACTTATAGTTTATTTCTCTTTATTTGCTTCATATCCCGTTTTTGTTTTTCTAAAGCCTGAGAAAGTAATAGTTAGGAATTTATAAGTTTTGTTATTGATATTGGGAGACAAAACTGTAATTTACCTGAATCAAGATGTTTGGGTTTTTTTCAGTATGGTTTTGTGTGGCAAGGCGTTGTAGTTCATGCCTGTAATCCCAGCGCTTTGGGAGACTGAGGCAGGTGGATTGCTTGAGCTCAGGAGTTCAAAACCAGCCTGGGCAACATAGTGAAATCCCATCCCTACCCAAAATGCAAAAATTAGCTGGGCGTAGTGGTGTGTGCCTGTAGTTCCAGCTACTCGGGAGGCCGAGGTGGGAGAATTGCTGGAACACAGTCAGTCGAGGTTGCAGTGTGCCCCGACGGTGCCACTACACTACGGTCTGGGTGACAGAGTAAGACCCAGTGTCCAAAAAAAAAAAAGAAAAGGAGAATGGTTTTGTTTTTTTCTTCATGTCATAGTTCTGATTGAAAAATAGGCATAGTGGAAATAAGATTGACCATGAATAATTATTGAAGTTGACTGATGAGTTTATTATATATTCTATCTATTTTTATTTGATAATTTCCAAGATAAGGCATAAGCAGAGACATGTTTTAACACTGTTTTTAAATCATCAATAATTAGAAGTATAATCTTGAATTATTTTAATTCCTTAATATTAAGTGATAATTTTGTCTGTGGAGTTTGTTTTACATACGCTTATTTGTGAGAAAGATCATTTCTGGTGGTGAATACATCTGGGTAGATTAATTGGTGATGATCACTTTTGTAGTTTTCTTTATTTACTTTTTATAGATTATTTGTTTTTGAAAAAAATTATTAATGTTGTTATTATTATTTTTATTCTTGCAGACAGACTCTCACTCTGTTGCCCAGGCTGGAGTGCAGTGGCACAAACTTGGCTAACTGCCACCTCCACCTCCTGGGTTCAAGCGATTCTCCTGTCTTAGCCTCCCAAGTAGCTGGGACTACGGGCGTGCACCACCACGCTTGGGTAATTTTTGTAATTTTAGTAGAGATGGGGTTTCACCATGTTGGCCAGGCTGTTCTCAAACTCCTGACCTCAAGTGATCTGCCTGCCGTGATCTCTCAAAGTGCTGGGACTATAGGCATGAGCCACCACATCCGGCCAAAAAATTATTTTTATATAAAATATTTTTGCACTAATTCATTCCTTCAATAAATGTTATTGAACACTGTTCTAGAGGCTGGGGATACGCAGTGAATGAAACAGAAAAACATTCTGTAGTATACACTTTAGTAGGGAGGAGACAAAATAAATCTAACAAATAATGGTATTGTGTTTATTGTGATAAGCGCTGTGGCAACATATATAACGAGGGTGCTCTTTTACACAAGGTTGAGGGAGAGTCTTCCAGGTGGCTGGAGAAACAAGGCTTGCAGGCAACCCTGTCATGGCCTTCCTAAAGCAGCATATGCAGGGAATATCAGCAAGTAACTGATGTGTATGGAAAGCTCTTCATTGGGCCACTCTGCTTGATAGGTAGGATTTGGAGACAGATTTATGTAGCTTCTGATACAGCCTGTATTTATTTTTATTTTTATTATTATTTTTTGAGACAGAGTTTTGCTCTGTTGCCCAGGCTATAGTGTGGTGGTACAATCTCGGCTAACTGCAACCTCTGCCTCCCGGGTTTAAGCAATTCTCCTGCCTCAGCCTCCCCAGTAGCTGGGATTACAGGCACTCACCACCACATACAGCTAATTTCTGTGTTTTTAGTAGAGACTGGGTTTCATTGTGTTGGCCAGGCTGGTCTCAAACTCTTGATGTTAGGTGATCCTTCTGCCTCAGCCTCCCTGAGTCCTGGGATTACAGGCGTGAGCCACCGTGCCTGGCCTGATAAAACCGTCATGATGTAGCAATGAGCATCAGGACTGAGGGGAGTAGGAGAAAATCTTTCCTGTGTTCTGTTGATTCTTGCTGGTGGCCAAAAAAAAAAGAAAAAAAATGTGACACCTTTTCTACCTTCTCTTTGTAATCTTAAAAATTGATGTAAAAGTTGATGTAATTGTTTTATTTATGTCCAAATTTTAAAATTATTTAGGTTTTCTTTGCTTGCTTGAGAAAATACATAAATAGAACTCAGGGAGATACTGTTTTGCTTAACTTTGCATATTACTGTGTACAAAACAAGGGTAGCAAATACCTGTTGGAATCAGGGAAGTAACTGAAACCTGGCTGAGGTGTATGGGAGTAGAGTGGTGGACCCTGTGACAAATCAGAGGTTTATGCCCTATGTAGAGGGGAGAGGCAGTACTGAACTCTAATTGATTATTGCATGTGAGAATGTGAGTCTGGTTTTGAATTATTTCCTTTTTTTTTCTTTTTTTTTTTTTTTTAAAGGGAGTCTCCCTCTGTTGCCCAGGCTGGAGTGCAGTGGTACAGTCTCAGCTCAATGCAACCTCCACCTCCTGGTTCAAGTGATTCTTGTGCCTCAGCCTCCCCAGTAGCTGGGATTACAGGCACATACCACCACACCCGGCTAATTTTTGTATTTTTAGTAGAGACTAGGTTTCGCCATGTTGACCAGGCTGGTCTTGAACTCCTGACCTCAAGTGATCCACCCACCTCAGCCTCCCAAAGTGCTAGGATTACAGGCGTGAGCCACTGTGCCCAGCCTCTGATTTTTTTTAAGAATAGCCAGGCACAGTGGCTCACGCCTGTAATCCTAGCATTTTGGGAGGCTGAGGCAGGTGTATCACTTCACGTCAGGAGTTTGAGACTAGCCTGGCCAACATGGTGAAAACTTGTCTTTACTAAAAATACAAAAATTAGCTGGATGTGGTGGCGCACACCTGTTATCCTAGCTACTTGGGAGGCTGAAGAAAGAGAATCACTTGAACCTGGGAGGTGGAGGTTGCAGTGAGCCGAGATCGAACCACTACACTCCACCCTGCTTGAAGGGAGTGAGACCCTGTCTCAAAACAAAACAAAACAAAACAAAAAAACAAAAAACAAAAAATAGAATAGCCAGGGCGAGCACTATAATGAATTCTTACTGCCTTCTTCAAGGAATAGTATAGATCTAATAGTCTCGAAATGCTGCAGGATTTCTGGATACAAATGTTTTTAACACACTATATTGTACAGTGGTTTTAGCACACCCTGTGTGGTGCTGAATATGTTTATTTTTGTTGTTTTAGGGTATGGTCAGACAGGTCCAATTTCTCAGCGAGCTGGTTATGATGCTGTTGCCTCAGCTGTTTCTGGTCTGATGCACATCACAGGGCCTGAGGTAGGTATCATTTCTTAGAATATTCATAATTTCATCCCTTACATATTCCAAAAGGATTTTACTCTGCACTAACCCATAGGATTAAACGAGTCATTAGGTTGGGGAAAAGGTAGTTGCTGTTTTTGCCATTGAAAGTAATAATTTTAGAAAGAAACCAGGGAAAGCGAATGCTTATGAAAGTAAAATGGGAAGCGTTCATTGCAAATGTATTCAGGCTAAACATCAATTTGGCCACATGGAAAAGAGCAGTGTTTTTAGCAAGAAGCCATAGATCAGATGGTGAACACACTTTCCACATTTATTATGTTATTCAAGCTTAATATAGGCACCTTTATGTGATTTAGGAATATTTCTTCTTTGAAATAAAACAGTTGACTAGACCAGACTACAGATGTCCATTTCACTAGAGTGCCTTCATCTGCCATGTATACATAGCAGAGGGTCTGTTTTTCCTTCTGGAACATTATAGGTAGTTATGTATTTGAAAATTTGTTGCTTAAAGCCTCCCTCAGGTTTAAATGTATCTGATTTGTCATGTGCATGAGATTCTGACAGTGAAATAATTATTTATAATAATTCCTCTCCATTGATATTTGGTTGGGAAGTTCCTAACAAGTATTGAGATGGCCAAAATGTGGTTGGTTAGATAAAAAAAAGACTCTTGGGGAAAACAATATGAATGACGTTAAAGAAAGTGAAAAAAAAGTGCTAAAACACACCCCATTTCAAAACAAACTAGATTGATGGCCTTAAAAAACTTGTTTCAGTGGGTGTTCATTCCCCAAATCACTTCTTCTAGTTAATTCTTCAGGAAATTTTGCTTGCTGTAGTGTTGAAATAAACTGAGGCAGTGACCTCAAGTCTTTTGCAGTCTTCTTTTTATTTAGTTTTACTTATTAATTAATCATTTCTCTTTGCCTCTATTTCCTCATGATGAGATTTACTTTTTATTAATTTCAAAGCAACTGTTGGGGTTTTAATTTCTTGAAATATAAAGTTATTGTCACAACTTTCATTTTAGTTTCATTTTCACAAGTCTTAGGAAAAAACTGTGTGGCCTTTGCTTTTTTTTTTTTTTTCTCTCTTTAAAGACAGTCTTGCTCTGTCGCCCAGGCTAGAGTGTGCAGTGGCACGATCTCAGCTCACTGCAGCCTCCACCTCCTAGGTTCAAAGGATTTTCCTGCCTCAGCCTCCCAAGTAGCTGGGATTACAGGTGCCAGCTACCGTGACCAATTAATTTTTGTATTTTTAGTAGAGACGGGGTTTCACCATCTTGACCAGGCTGGTCTCGAACTCCTTACCTTGTGATCCAGTCCCAGTGCTGGGATTATAGGCATTAACCTCCACACCCAGCCTGTTTTGTTTTCTTTGAGACAGGGTCTCACTCCAGGCTGGAGTGCAGCCTCCATGGCACACTGCAGCCTCCTGGGCTCAATAGATTCTCCAACCTCAGCCTCCCACATAGCTTGGACTACAGGTGTGTGGCACCAAACCTGACTAATTTTTAAATTTTTTGCAGAGATGGTGTCCCGTTATGTTGCCCAGGCTGGTCTTGAACTCCTGGACTCAAGCCATCTTGGCCTCCCAAAGTGATGGGATTACAGGTGTGAGCCACTGTACCCTGCTGGCCTTTCCTTAAAATATTCAAGAGCACCAGTTTTCTTTCCATCCATTGAGAGAATAGAGCATGGACATTTCTCTCATTGCTGAATTCCATAGACTCTCATATGGCCAAGACATTCTTTATTGTGAATGCCTTTATTTAAGGGTGTTGAACTCAATTAGGAATATGTGAAAAGATCTGGGATTTAAACATTTGTATATTCAAATGGTAAAATGAATTAAATGAAAAACTGTTGAGATGGGGTATTACTGTAGTTCCTTTAGTACATTGCACTGTAGTCTAACAGGGATAACTACACAATATATGCTCAACCTTAATTTCTCAGTCAGTAACAGCTTTTATCTCTTGTGTTAGCCTACTCAGATGATTTTTGTTCTAGGTGAGCAAATAACATTTATTGCGTGCTTGGTATGTGCCAAACATTGCTTTATATACTTTCCATGTATTACATTAAGTAAACTTAACTCTCATACTGTATTTCTTTCACATGGACACATCTTTCATTCCTTAATTAAGTTACACATTAACCTAGTAAGTAGTTACTGCATCTGTTTCCTACCGTACTGTGGGAATGGTGGTAGGCGCTGGAGATTAAGCAGGCTACAGGACAATCACAGTCCTTATCTTCCTATAGCTGTTAAGTGGGGAAAACAAACAGCAGAAAATATTTATTACATGCAAATAAAAAGAACTCTGAAGAAGAGTACAGGGTACTATGAACATATATAAATAACAGTGTGCCTTGGGCCATTATTATGCTTCTAAAGATCTCTATAAAGTGTGGTTTGACAGCTAAAGATAAAAGCTGATTGAAATCAGAATCAGGCCAGCCGGGCACAGTGGCTCATGCCTGTAATCCCAGCGCTTTGGGAGGCTGAGGCGGGCGGATTACCCCAGGTTGGTAGTTTGAGACCAGCCTGAACAACATGGAGAAACCCCTGATGTACTAAAAATACAAAATTAGCCGGATGTGGTGTTGCATTCCTGTAATCCCAGCTACTCAGGAGACTGAGGGAGGAGAATCGCTTGAACCCGGGAGGTGGAGGTTGCAGTAAGCTGAGATCGCGCCATTGCACTCCAGCCTGGGTGACAAGAGTGAAACTCCATCTCCACAAAAAAAAAAAAAAAAAAAAAAAAAAAAAAAAAAAAAAAAAAAAAAGAAAAGAATCAGAAGAATCAGGCCATGCTGGGAGTCCCCCTTAAGAGAGTTATTTTCTCTTATCTTATCAGCAGTATATTAACAATTCCCTAAGCCTCTCAGCAGAGATTGTACAGGAAAGCACTTCTGAAAGCCTTGGCTAATCTTTTTAACCAGCCGATGCACACACACTATTGGCAATTATATCCATTGTGTATGAACTTTTCTCTAACTGCATAGCCATGTATCTGTGCTGTAGCATAACTCCATGTTGTCAGATGAGTGATTGGAACCCAGGCTTCTCTGACATCAGGAAGCTTCTCCACATCACCCTACACGGTGGAGCCCAAGTTTATCAGGGCTTTCGGTCAGGGAAGGCATCTCTGAGGGCCATATATTTAGGGTAGGATCCTGTTAAACATTAGCTGATTAGCATTAGAGAGTAATGCATGGTATTGCATGTGTTGATGCTGGAGAGTCTGGTAGTTTTGAAGAGCCCAAAGAAGGGCAGTGTCACTGGATTATTGTGAACTAATAAAGAAGTGGGGCCAAATGTGGTTGGGGAGGTAAGGAACAGTGGCTGAACTTATTGCATGTGGATTTATTACATTACTTAATAGTTTAATGAGAAAATACACTATTATATACAAATATATTTTTAGTGATAGTCTCATATATTTCTATCTGGAAATCGAGTGATATTCCAAAGATATAGACTATAGTATTATAATGAAAAAACTCAAAATGTATGTTTTTTTCCTCTAATGTTATAATAATGTCATTTTTATCCAAAAGGGGGCATATCTAAATGTATAGTATAGGGACTGGGCATGGTGACTCATGCCTGTAATCCCAGCACTTTGGGAGGCTGAGGCGGGTGGATCACTTGAGGTCAGGAATTCAAGACCAGCTTGGCCAACATGGTGAAACCCTGTCTGTACTAAAAATACAAAAATTAGCTGGGCATCATGGCACATGCATGTAATCCCAGCAACCCGGGAGGCTGAGGCAAGAGAATTGGTTGAACCCGGGAGGCGGAGGTTACGGTGGCCCAAGATCGCACCACTGCACTCCAGCCTGGGTGTCAAAGAGAGACTCTGTCTCAAAAAAAAAAGTATACCGTAGGGAAAATTTTATAAAAGAAGTCTTTATGGCTGGGCGCAGTGGCTTATGCCTGTAATCCCAGCACTTTGGGAGGCCGAGGCAGGCAGATCACGAGGTCAAGAGATTGGGACCATCCTGGCCAACATGCTGAAACCCCGTCTCTACTAAAAATACAAAAATTAGCTGGGCGTGGTGGCATGCATCATCTGTAGTCCCAGCTACTCGGGAGGCTGAGGCAGGAAAATCACTTGAATCTAGGATGTGGAGGTTGCAGTGAGCTGAGATCACGCCACTGCACTCCAGCCTGGTGACAGAGTAAGACTCTGTCTCCAAAAAAAAAAAAAAAAAAAAAAAGCAGTCTTTATCATGTGATTTTGGGTAAACTAGTTACTGTTGACCTTTACTAAATCTAAAATCCAGCCTTTTACGTATGCTGTGGTGTTGTCAGATTAGATTATATTTGATTATGGACAAAGAGAGAATCTATTTTGAATTCTTATACTATGCCAGACAGATGATAGACATTTTAAAAAGTATGTCTTTTGATCCTCACATTGATACTTCCAGGTATGTATTGATAAACTCTTTTTTTTCTTTTCTTTTCTTTCTTTTTTTTTTTTTTTGAGATTGAGTCTCACTCTTGTCGCTCAGGCTGGAGTGCAGTGGCATGATCTCAGCTCACTACAGCCTCCGCCTCCCAGGTTCAAGTTATTCTCCTGCCTTAGCCTCCCCAGTAGCTGGGATTATAGGCAGGTGCCACCACACCTAGCTAATTCTTTTTTTGTATTTTTAGTAGAGTCGGGGTTTTGCCATGTTGAGTGGTCTCTAACTTCTGACCTCAAGCGATTCGCCACTTCGGCCTCCCAAAGTGCTGGGATTACAGGCGTGAGCCACTGTGCCCGGCCTCATATTGGTAAATTCTATAACTGAAGCTTAGAGGCTTACATAACTTGATATGTAAAGGGCTAAAGCCAAACTTTGAACCCAGGTTTGCTTTATTTCTGTAGCCTGTATTTTTTCCACTCCCCATGATACCTGCAGAATGATCCTGATGTCTGTTGTATTTGCATCTTGCTTCTGCATGCTGCTTGATATATGTTACGATGTGGTAAATAGACCATTTGAAAGAGTGGG